TAAGATATTTCTCATGCTCACCTTTGACAGTGGTTATGAGCACAATGCAGCGTGTAGCTGGCTCAACGATTTTGCTTCAAAGATTGCTGCATCTTTTAATGTAGGCAATTCTTCATGTAAATACCAGTCCGGAAAGAGTTTTTTTTAAAGAGAAGCTGTTTTAATCAAACAAAGGGCAAGAAGTTCCTTCCTGAATGGTTAAAACCCTACTGATTATACCAGTAGTGTGCTGATTATAAGCTGCCCCTTGGCCAATTCTGCTGCATTTACCAGAATTCTTGTTAAATAACACTTTCCCAAAAATAATGTGAGAAAATCAAACAATGGAACATACAACTAGCTAACAGATAGGGAACTACAAAGTAAATATACAACCTTTTATGCTCTTTCTCTTTTAGATAAAAAGAAGCATGCACCTTTCTCTATAAAATACAATTTTTAGGTGAAAAGGTTCATTGACATTATTGTAATGTGTTAACTTTTCATGCTCAATGAAATCTTTTAAAAAGGTAATATGTTTTAAATAAATGTTCACATTATAGGACATTTCAACAGTACAGATAAGCAAAAAGAAGAAAATGGAAAGCGCTCGCCATTTCACCATTCTGAAATTTACCTTGTTATAGAAAATCCAAAACAGAAACAGAGATAATCATGTAACAAATTCTAATGTATCTATTACCCAGCTTGAACAACTATTAATTCATGGTTAGTTTTTAAAACAGCTGTTCAGTTTTCTTTTCTGACCTCCAGAGTGAGGGGAACAATGTCTAGCAGAGTTTTGCTGTGGAGAGAGAGCCGTCTGTGTCTGGAAGGAATGCATTGATGCTGTGGCCAGCAGGGACCACAAAGGATAAACTCAAATACACGCTGCAGTCTGCTGAGTGCCCCTGTATGGAGAAAGCCTGCATCAGCTTGGGCTTGGCGTTGTTAGGAGTGGTTATGTGGGTGCGGTCAAGCTGTATCTCTTGAGTAAGAGGTCAGAGGATTTTGAGGTCCATTTGGGGGAGGGGCAAGATGTCAAGCTAGGGGGAGGAAAATAGGATCAAGAGGGTAGACATGACATGAGGGACAGGGAGACAGGAAAAACTCTTAGGCTGCAGTGACTGGGAGGGACTTCTTCTCCTGCATATGGTGATATATGATGTATGCTACATCATCTGGGACTCTTCAAGAAATGTCAGGAAATTCTTCATCACTTGCTAATGCTTTTAACTGAGTAGAGTCTTTTCCTTTAGATTTCCCTTGCTACTTGACTATTCATTATCTGAATGCCCCCAGTTGCCAGTTTGTTGAGGGAAGCCCGAGCTAAGTAATATGAGAACATTCACTAATGCACTGACCACACGTAAAATCAGTCAGTGCTAAGTCATCTCTCCCTCCTAGATTATACCTTTTTTTTATTAAGGTATCATTGATACACACGCCTCCTACCTTGCCATCTTTAGCCATTCTATATTATACTTTTTATTGTGTTTTAAGTAGGCTATTTCTCTTTATCTGAAATGGAGAAGCAGGATTGGTCCCAGCCACATTGTCTAATGTGGTAAGCATCTGAGTATCACAGGTCAAGCAGAATGCATATTACTGCAAAGTGAAGTTAAAATCTTGCAAAAAGAGGTGGAATTTCATGAGTGTGTTGAAATTGATGTTGGCGAACTACTTAAAATATCTACAAAGACACTGAGAAATGAGGATCTGGCAGAATGCGTGCAGTCAACAACAGAAGGAGAGAAACTCAACACAGAGGATGCCATATGCTGTTAGAGAGTGTGATTTTACAACCAGAGGATTAGGGGAGGCGCCTGGGGAAATGGATGAAGCCCTGTCCTTGAGCAAAACAGGGCCTACTTTATGTATTCATTGTGAAATTCAACAATGCAGCAAAGGATGACAAAGATCTACTCAGGATTCACTTTGTTCAGACTAAGAGTAATGCATGGATTCAGTTTTAACCCATGTCACATTACATATCAGATAAACATGTTTTTGTTCTTGTTAGTTTGGTTTTTCAAGATAAACTTTGAGTCAGACCATATTTTTGGATGATTTTACTATAAAAATTTTAGCTTACTATAGAAAACCTAAAACAGAGATAATTATATAATAAACTCTCATGTATCCATTACCCAGTCTGAACTATTAAAGCCTGGCTAATTTTTTATAAAAGGTTTTATTGAGTAAGAACATAAAACATTATTAGATCAAGATACACAATGTCACCAGCACCCCAGAGGTCACCTTGGGCCCCCTTCAGCCACTAGTTCTTCCAAGTGTAATGGCCATCCTGACTTTCAACACCATACTCTAGGGACCCACTGCCAATCTTATCTTCTCCATGCCCACCCCTCCATTCTCCTCCCCCCACTCTGTGTCCCATCATTTCATATGAAAATATTTCAGAATGTAACTCTAAAAAATACAGGACCTTTAAAAAAATGACCATAATGCCTTAATCACATTAAAAAAATTAACTATGATACCTGAAGGTCAGGAAATATCTTGAATATGTACATTTGCCTGTTGGTCTTTCTTATAACTTTGAAATTTTGCAGGTTGTTTGAATCTTGATCTCAGTAAATCCAGGCTCCCCTTCTAGCTTGCCCTCTCTCCCTCTCTCCAGCAGCTCTTCTTCTCTCTGTCTCTCCCACTGCCATTTTTTGTTGTTGTTGAAGGAACCGTATATTCGTTCTGCAGAATTCTTCACAATCTGATTTTCCTCCTTGTGTTCTGTGGTGGTCATCACATCTCTCTGTCTTATGTGTATTCTGTAAATTGGAAGTTAGATTCAGAGTTTTGATTAGATTCAGGCTTGATATTCTGGCAAGAATCCTTCATAGGTGGATTCTTCCTGGCAAGATTTTATTAGACAAAATACTTCTAAAAAGAGAAACTTTCCCTCATCCACTCTTCAGGTGCCTTGAGGGACAGTTTGCCTAGGAAATACAGAATAAATGCTCAATTCTTTCCCTTTATTTACAGTTAAATAAAAGTGAGTTGATTCCCTAGCATCCTCAACAAATGCCTGCTGGGTTTTTTCCTTTATGAGGATCATTATGAACTCTTGTCAGGCTTTAGTCCATTTTACTAGAACACTTTGATCTGATTCATCTGGAGTGGATCTTCCCAACAGTCCTCAGATAATGCAGGCCTCTTGCTCAAGTAATAAAGCAGCTGAAGAGAGAGGCAGCAGCTTAGGTTTGAGTGTAAGAACTCACTGCATCTTTCTGTGAAGGTAAAAGTAGCAAAATACATGCAGGAGCCTTTTTATTTAGGAAAAAGATAACAGATTGTACCTCTCAGTACTGCAAATGTTAGATCAAAAATGCCCCATGCTTGAGAGGAGGCTTATAACTGGATTTGGGGAGCCTGTTGAAGATGGTGAGACATAGTGGCTTATTACCATTCAGCTTAGTATGTGCATGCGCCCAGGTTCCCACCTAAGAGGTTCAGTGTGACCACCGGCTCTGTGCAAAATCTGCGTCTACAAAAAAGAAGAGATTATGTCAGAGTTTATACAACATATAATAGAAAATACACTCGAGTTAGTCAAAGTCAACTCAAAGTAAGTTGGGAAGTCTAGCAGACCATTGTGCCACAAAGGTGACTCAGAAGGCTGGGCACAGGTTGGCCCAAAGCACAAGTCACACAAACTATGCAGATGTGAGTTGACGTGTGGCACATTCATCCCTCCAGCTCCTTGTCAGTTAGGCTTACTAGGCGCTTACTAGGCTTACTAGGCTTACTAGGCTTACTTAGCAGATATTCCCCAGTGGAACTAGCTTGAGGAGTAGTACAACCAAAGGGTTTGGATTGAGATTTCTGGCATCCCTACCGATCTGAAGATTTGAATCCCAAAGGTGGGCTTCCCTTGCCTTCCCTGGAAGCAGAGAGCCCCATGCCAGAGAATGTGATGGGGACATGTTCATTGAATAGAGATTTCACTGGGAAGAATGCTAGGATTTCCTGAGTGTAGGCAATGGGCTTTTATCCTATTTACCTCACTAATTAAAAAAAAAAAATCCATGATGATATGAACTCTGACCCCTTTTTATAGATGAAAAAAATGAAGCTGAGAGAGGCATGATAATGGTCTAGATTATGTGGCTTCCAAGACCCAAGCAGGCTTGGTTTCCAGTCTAGGTGAGTTCTAGGCCACAGTGAGGGCTGATTCCCTGCTAAGAGCCCTCCACGCGGGACTGTCTGGGGCACCTGAGCCTGGAAACCTTGGAGGACCAGCTCCCCAACCCTTCAGGCTTCCTGTGGACATGCTGCGGACCCTGCCCATGCCCCCAGGATTGTCTCTTCCCTGTGTGACCACAGGAGCCTCCTGACAGGTCTCCCAGCTTGCAGTCTTGATCCTCTCTAGAGTTGGTTTTCAACACAGGCAGAATCAACCTTCTAGAATGCAAATCAGCTCATGACCCTCCCTACTCAACCTTCCATCTCACTCAGCAAAATCTAAATTCCTTACTGTGATGACTCAGCCCTATAGTAGACTTTGTTAATTCTCTAATCTGTTTTCTAGTAATCTGTTCTGGTCTCCTGACTGCTATTTGAGGATGGCACTTGGCAAGAAAGCAAACAGCAAGCCCAAATGGAGTCAATTGCCCCACAAGTCAACACTTAGTTTCAACCTGTATCAGAAATATGACCTTTTAACAGTCAACCAGAATTTTCTGGTCTGCACCAGAGGTAATCTGTCACTCTTGTGCTGCCCAAAAGATGAGGTCATCTGCCTGACAAGACCACTTGCCTTCCCCCTAAGAGAAGGTGACCTCACCTGGAACAATCCCTCCTTTTCTTTTGCTAGTTACCTTGTGCTTCCCTAGCCCTCTTTCCTATAGAAGCTTCCATTTTGTACAAATCTGTGGGGCATCTCTCTGCTTGCTAAATGGGAAGCCACCCGATTCATGAATCACTGAATAGAGCCAATCAGATCTTCAGATTACTGGATTGAATTTGTTTTTTGACTCACTGTGGGCCTTTTTCTTGTGCAGAACTTCTCCTTGGAACATGTCTGATGGCAACACCTTCCTCCAGGCTGCAGGGAGGCTTCTAACCCCCCTGTGTGAAATTTCAGCCCCCTTACCCGACCCCCAGCACTCCCTATTCCCCGTTCCTGGTTTTGTTTGGCTGAAAATAATATTTTATTTCTATATTAAATTATAAATAATAAATAAAATAATACTTTTTCTCCAGTAAGTAATTTGCATATTTATTTCACTTGACTGTCCCATTGAAATTTAAGCTCGGGGTAGGAGTTTGGTCAGTGTTATTCACTGCTAAATTTCAGAGTCTAGAAGAGTGCCTCAGAGTGCACTAAAGATGACTATTACGATAGCCTCAGAATTGCATGCCCAGGGCTATGAGTTTTTTGCTGCCTGTGTCCCTTGGGGACAGGCCAGACCCACAGTCAGTCACATGAGCTCACGGTGACTACCCTAAGATAAGGGCTAGAGTAGCTGCATCTCCTCTTCTTACCAGGAGGTGGCAGTGTGCTCACACAGCTGGCAGCGCCCCCCCCTCCCCTATCCGCCAACCCCCTCCTTACTTACGTTTCCCTCAAACAGCAGCTGGGGGGAGCTGTGGGGTCAGGTGACCTAGCCCAGTACAGCCCCCCTTCTAGGGAGAGAAAGGACTCGGTCAATCTAGTCCTGAACGACTTGACAAAACACCAAATGAAAATCCTCTCTCTCTCTCTCTCTCTCTGTCTACCTGAGTCAGAACAAACTGATGGTAATGCTTAAACATAGACTGTGATACCCGGTTAAGTATACATTGAAATTATCTGCAAAAAATTTTTGGAAGGTAGTTTCATTTATCTTCGGTTGTTTCTTCATTGTAATTATTTAAATATCTCTCCCTCCCCCAAATTCCCAAACATCATTATGTCAATTGTTTTCTGAGTTGAAGGAAATATTTCCCATGTGCCAGGCAATTTTGAAAAAGTGGAATTTCCTTTTGGGATTTTAATTTTTCAATCCCTACTTCTAAAAAAGCACAAAGGAAGAGCACAATTCATATGGCGTTTAACAAAACTAAATAGAATTCTGACTCTGGGCATGTTGAATGATTGTGCAAAGAGCATTAAGAATAAAACAACAGGATACTTCAATAAACATGTACTGGGCACCTCCTGGGTGTCTGGTAATAAGCTAGGTTCTGGGAAACCAAACACAAATAAAATGAGGTCATTGCTTTCAGGAAACTTAATATCTAATGAGCGTCAAGGATATTGCACAACAAATTATGATAGAAAAGAGAATAAAATGAATGATAAAAAAATGACATGAACTGCACGTGCCAGTAGTTCTGTAACATTTTTTCTGTTGACAGAGAGTAATTACGCTTGTTGGGGGTGAGGATTTAATTGTTTATATAACCATTGAATCATTGTGTTGTATACTTGAAACCAATATAATATTGTATATCAACTATACTTCAATAAAAATATNAACACTTCACTCATACTGAAAGAATAAACTTGGATCTAAACTAATGGCTACATGGAAATCTAGCTCGTTATGTATCTCAAAAGATGTTATATAACTTAAAAAACCTTGAATACAGTGGTAAAATTAAAACCAGAAAAATGAGGGCCTAAATGTATATGACTTCAATTAAGTTTTATTAACAAATATTCATTAAAGAGATAAAATGAAGGCAAATTATACCAGCAAAGTTACTAAGGAAAGTAGAAGCAGGAAGAAGTAATTTTGATTGGGAAATCAGAGAAGACTTCATGGAAGAAGTGACTTGCAAGCCAAACAAGACTTTGGTAGGCTGAGAAGGGGAAAAAAGTGCATTCCAAGCTAAGACTCTGACATGAGCAGAAGTACAAACGTGGGATCATGTCTGATCCTGCATGTTAGAACATAGAGCTGTGGGCTAGTGCACGGGGTGAGGGTCTGGGAATGGCCAAAACATAAGTCCTGCTGAGTGGCAAGAGCCCAGCAATTGCTTACTAAGGGAAGACAGATTAAATAACTGTTCAAGCTCTCTCCAGTATAAGTGCTGGAGCCCAGAATTGAATGCAGGTTTGTGTGAGCAGAGTCCATGCACTAAAGCACTCTACTGCCTCCTCATTACACATGTGAGATACTGAAGGACCACAGGTTGCTGACATAATAGTTTTATAAAGATACCAACATGGTAAATCATGTACTCCACCTGAAAAATGGCTATGGAGAAATCATAGCACTGTAATGAAATGTTTTACCACCAGATAAACAGCTTCACACCAGCAGATGAAATATCTGATGATCCAAAAAGGTTTAAGGAGATTGGCCAGGCCCATGCCACTGGCCCACTCTGGCTACTTGAACTGGCCTTTCTGTTCATGGGCTCTGCACAATCATACCTTCGAGCCTTTATTTTTCCTATGTGATCTCCCTGCAAAGATATGCAAATGTGATTTTCTGGTAAGTTCCTAAACTTTCTTCTTTTAGTTTAAGATGTGGACTTATAAAACTGTGCAGAAAGTTCATGCAAATAACATTAGAATTTAGTAATATTTCTAAATGGAGGTCTGAAGGATTGAATATTATTACCATCACTGTGATTTCCAGAAGAAAACATAGGAGCCGTTGTGGGAGAGGTGTCTTCTCTGAAAAGTAAATACAAAAAGGAGAAGACAACTACCCAGTCTGGTTTCAAAGGAAGGAAGCTATCTCTGTGTTGTTATTTCAATGCGTTGAGTGAGCAGAGACCTTTCTAAGTAGTGGTCTTGTTACAGAGAAGTTGGTGTGTTACTATTTCTTGTTGGCCTAATTGTGACTTCGAGGAGGTGGAGAAACCAGATTCTATCCTGAAAGTGGTTTCACAGCTTTACTTTCTCAGAAACAGGAAGAACTTACTGATTTCCTTCTAAGTGCTACCTTGACCTGGGCACTGGGAGGGTGCAAAGCTATGGCTGTCATGGACCTGATGCCACAGCATACTCTTAAGGGACTTTTGACCCATCTGGGAAGAGACAAGTGCATGTAAAAATAATAATGCAGGTGCTTAGAGTGGTGTAGTCAGCATGGTCAGATTTCAGGGGCCAGAGTGGAGTCGCCTGCCATTTTCCAAAGGACACTAGTGAGTAAGGAGACAGTGCAGGTGGGAGGGACACTGGCGCAGCATCAACAGCATGGGGTTAGATCCTGAGTCCACTGTGTTACCTTAGGCAAGTCACTTAGCCCCTGCGTCTACAGGTCTAGTTGGCTTATATGTAAAATAGGAGACAGCAGTTGCATTGCATCCCAGAATTGCTGTAAAAAATAGCATCAAGTGAGATAATATTTGGGGAAGTACTTGGGAAATAACAGATGTACCCAAATGACAAGCAATTTCAATTCAATACCAACCCTGTTTCAACTGTCTTGAGCTCCAAGAAATATTCAAACAGCTTGAGTGCCAGGGAAAAAGATACTCTGTTTAATTTGTTTTTCTGATTTTTGGACACTTAATTAGAAGGCCTTGTTGGTGCAACCCTTCCTACAGATTTTTCTAAGCTTTGCATGGCTTCTCGCTCTATCACTGTCCACCATACTGAACAGCCTTCCTTCTGCTGCTTGAAGTGGTGTCTGCCAGTTTCTCTCCTGTACATTTGCTAATTTTTCTTTCTTAATGACAAACAAATTTGTGGGAAATACTTTAAGACCTTTACCAGCTAGTTTCGGCATTTAGTATTAATTTCTGAGTCCTTATTCTCTCTACCTTCACTGGTTGGCATTAGTGTAAGGAAGAGATTTCCTTTTCCCCATTTATTTCTTTGCTTATCTATTCATTATTATCAGTATGAACTAATTGATTTTTTTCTCTGCAGTGGGTTATAATCCATTACTATTATTACTTCCTTTGATGTTTGAATTGTCCCCATGCTGGCCAGTGGGAGTGTTTTAAGGATACCCAGGTTGTTTTAACCAGGTGCGGCCATGCAGACATCTGCAGACACGGAAATGGCTATCATGAAGGGAGCTGTGTCTTGCCCCTGCAGACCCTTAGGAACTGGAGGCACAGCATGCTCCACAGGGCCAAGGCCGCATGGGGAAGCACCCACGTCAGTCAGGAGGCAGACGAAAATGTGGGAGCCTTTCCTCTAGTTTCCATGGGAAGTAACGGGTAAGGATTAGGATTTAGGTTTAGGACTGGCTTGCCAAATAATGTCAGCAGGCTCTGGGCACAGGGCTGTCCCCAGCCGTCTGAAACCAGGGCTAGTTATGCAAAGGAACCGTGGCCTTGAGTATGAGAGCCTGATAAAGGAAGCGGTTGGGGCGTGGGCTTGGTTGGTTTTCATTTGAAAGGTGAATCACTGACTATCTCTAGGAATTAGCTGACTCTGGGAGGGGCAACCCCTCCAGAATCATCAGGGCACCTGACGTCAGAGCATCAGTAAAGAAACTGTATGACAGAAAGCATGGCTACTGCAGGGAATCCAAGCTAACTCCTGTATCCTTTCGTACATGCTCACCCTTCACTGTGTTTTCCCCTTGTTGCGGCACTAGAGGTTTGCCCTTCTTGTTTTAATCTAATGATCTATGTTGTCTGTCATATGAATTTGAAATTGTCTTCATTTTCAAAAGCCCATCATGAGTCAAATAAACCTACACATTTCAGGCTCCTTAAGGATTTCTGAATTCTGGCAACTGTAGGAGAGCTGTGTCTTCCGGGGACTGTGGGTCTTGGGCAAATCGGGCCAGAGGAGGGGTCTCCTCTATCACTTTCATCTGCAGAGCATCTCAGCAAACAAAGTGGTCCCACCCAGCTGGGACTGAACCTGTTCTTCTCTTGGGAGTTTGGACAGAGTCATATTTATGTCCAGAAATGTAGACCTCCCTGACAAAACTCTATTAGCAATTTCTAGCCCACTGGCCAATTGGACTGTGTTGGCAGGGGACCCTCAGAGCAGGAACACTGAGTGCTAAGATCTTAGCCACACTGGTAACAACTGGGCAAGGCCTAAAATCATGTCATATTCCTCAGGAATAGCCTGACTCCTTGTGGAGTTAAATGTCATGGACAGACCAGCCTCATTGGCGTCATCTGGGAGCTTGGTAGAAATGCAGATGCTCAGGCCTGACCCCAGACCTGCAGAGTCAGCATCCACATTTTAACATGACCCCACGTGATTCCCAGGCACATTGAAGT